GGCTGTTCAGATAACCCTATGCCTAGACCTACCTTTAACAGGCAATTATTCAATAAAAAAATATTATATGTCATCCATTTATTGTTATTGTTATTTATTTTGTTAATATGACCATCTATATATAAAATAATAATAATTATCCTCTTACTCAATAGTCACGAATAGTATCTATGTAATAATATCATTATATTGGGCTCGATTTGGGAAGACAGTTAAAAGTTAACAGTCAACTTTTAATTAATTTTAAGTCACATTACCTCTCACATTTTTTATATTTTTTTTTTTATAAAAGAAAAAAGTCGTCAAAAAAAAAAGTCAAAAAATCTACTTTTGACCATCTTCCCAATTGATGACCTAACAAAAAATTTAATTGACAATAATAACTTGAGAGGCATAAAATAACTTAATGTATTTTGCGAATTTTATATATCAACAATATCATGTAATATTTTATGACTATTAATAATTTTCTAAGGTTAACTTTACCCCCAAGACCCGCTAGAATCAAGAATGCCCCATATAAGCGGCAAGCACCAGTGTTTCTTGGTGTTTTGTAAGCGGCAAGCACCAAAAAAAAGATAAAGAAAGAAAAGTAAGTGCTTCCTCCATCCAAATCCTTGGAAAGGACCAGCCGATCTAACCTTATGATAAAGAAAGACTAAGGGCAATACTAGAATTTAGGGAAGCTGTATCACGCCCACTTTTCTTTCAATTGAGAAGGAAAATATGTTAAATTAAATCCAAATTAAAAAGATAAATATGTAAAATTACTACTAATAATTAGATGGATAATTATATAACATAAAGATAACTTTATTTACACATAATTCTTCCTCGTTACACCCCAATTTTTTTTTTAACATGAATGCTTTCGATGGAATTAAAAAAAGACTCAGTGGGAGTGAAATGTCAAATTTACCCCAATAAATATTCACATCAAATGCACTACATGTGATTGTTCAAAAAAATGCACTACATGTGATAATTTTCTCTCAAAAATTTAGATGGTTGTTTCTTATTGTCCTCAATTGATACAAAATACAAAATTTAGAGTCAAATGTGTTGCAATTAAAACAATAAGGACCAAATTGAAACTCAGATAAAATTATATGGACTATTGGAGAAATTTGTCCTCATATTTTTTAGAATGCTACTATTGGCACCCCAAAATTAAAATTTTGTACTCCCATTTCTTTTATTTATTTTTATTACAATAACAATTTGAAATGAAATTACTAAAAAAGATATGAATTATTTTGCGGCACCCCGTCCACAATTAAACTCACTCATAATAAACTCACTCATAATATAGGGTTTATAAGAGAACCTACCTCCATCACCACCCATACACTTCAAAATTCTCAAAACCTACACATCCTTAAAACTTTCAAAACCCTTCGGCAACTAGTTTTCTAGCGGCTTCTGGCAGTAACTATTGGACAGTACACACTTATCCAACAATGATAATGAATAAAAGTTTTTCTGGCAATTCCAATACCATGAGACGAATGGAGCATTACAATGTAAGCTTAAAGGAGGTTTAAATGTTGGTAGCTTGGTAGAGGTTGACTTTGTAATAATATATTTTTCAAAAACACACCAAAAAAAAAATTTGTGAAATGGTTCGAATTTTTTTCAATACTAAACTCCCGAATGTATGTCAAACAAATGGCAATACAGGGCTGAATTAAAAGCATTAGTTCAACAACGTCTAACCGAACATTATTCATATATGTTCAACACTTTGGATCGAACTTTTTTATTTATATGTTCGGCACTTTGAATATGTAATCTTAATGCATACTTATGTTTTGGTTATGCGATGAACTATAATTTTATTTGGTAATCAAACTGGTTGATGCATGCTTATCTTTATTTGTTAAATTTTGAAGGGTCAAACTTGTTTACAGATGCAAAACTTTACGTTTTTATAATGTTCGGTAACACGTGACTGAACATGTATAAATTGTTTTGTAACACTGGTCTAAACATAGGTACATGGGTAATTTGTTCGGCAACACATGTTCGAACATGGTGGCGAAGAGATCGACGGTGGGTAGAGGTGGGTGATAAGAGATCGCTGTGACAGAAATGGACAATGGGGAGATTGATGGCAAAGCTCTATTGATGGTGAGAGGAAGCTTGAGATCAACGGTGAAAGTTCAACAGTTAAAGATGATGGGTTTGTAGGGGGTGTGTTAAGGGATGTGCATTTTGGTGGGTGTGATAGTTTTAGAAAGATACTTTTGAATTTTGTAAGTGATGGTCCAAAAAAACAAATTAGAGGTCAAAAGTATTAATTAGAATGCTAATAACAACACTCATTTTTTATTGTGAAAAAATACAACTTCGACATGTACTTACCCATATCTTCTACAACACACTCTCTCTCTTTCTCTCCCCCTCTCCCTCTCCCCCTCCCCCTCCCCCTCTCTCTTTCGCACAATATCTAGCAGTTGAAGTCTTCACCTTCACGCACAATATCTAGTTGTTGAAGTCTTCACCGTCCTCACCATTTCCACCATCAGCTAGTCATTGTCTCTACTAGCTACCACCATCTAAGATCTACTACTGTCGACCATCGTCTTTACCGTCAACCTCCACCATCTTAGATTAGCAACCAACGTAGTCAAATCTAAGATCGATCTGAGATTAAATCCGAAAAACTCATATATGTGAGAAGAAGGCCATTGGAGTAGTCTCTTGTCTCTCTCTAATGTTTCTCTACAATACCATTACCACCGTTTTAGATTTACCATTAGCGACAAAGAAGTCGTTTTATGGAAAAGGTAGTATGTATACACTATATTTGATTTTTGGATTAATTACAATTTTTATTCAATAGTATGAGTAATTAGTCATTTTGGTTCTCAATATTTTAATTTTGGGTAAATTATACTGATAGTCCCTATATTTTCTTGTTTGTGTTATTTTAGTCCTTACAGTTTCAATTGACTCAATTTTGACTATTAATTTTAAATTTTGCATTAATTTAATCGAATTGATAATGTCGATAGGGTTTTTGACAAAAAAATTTATTGAATTGGTTGAGGTTAAGTCATTAAATTAAACAAGTTAATAATTTTGCTCCTAAAAGTATGATACATGCCACTTATGTGCACATTTACCATTAAAAAAAAATGCTAACAATTAGAAGCAATTTGACCAATTTAAAACAAAATAAAAAAAAATTCATAGTCAAAATTGATCCAATTAAAATTACAGAGACTAAAATGACACAAAGGTCAAAGAATAGAGATTAACAGTGTAATTTACTTTTTAATTTTTGTCAATTTAATCCCAAATATATAAAATTTATTTTAATCTTGTTCCAGCCTTACAATGTCAATATGCGCCCAAAAAAAACCGGGTGCTAAATGTGCAATTTTAGATACAAAAATGACCCATGTCACATAGTTTTATGACAATAATTTATAATTTTGTAAGTCCATTTTCACCTTATTACATATTTTGAAAGTTGAAAGTACATATTTTAAAATAAATATTAGTCTTTTAGACTTAAAAAAGTCCCAAAAAAAAAAAATTACAATAGTTAAGCATAAGGTTGACAAAATACCCTGATCCGCTAGATTCCCAACTCTCTCGGCCCCTAATGAGATGGCTTTGGGAGTTGTTGAATAAGATAAGGTCAGATTTGGAAAGTTTTTGAAAAATTTGATTGAATTCAGGTCGGGAACGAGGAAGAGTATTTTTTACTTGAGCCCTACTCAATCCGCAAATATAGTAACAAATATATAATATGTGTATAGTATATTGTTGAATTTTTATAAAATATATATAATATATATACACTGTATTATTGAGTTTCTATTATGTTATATATATATATATATATATATATAATATAATTTTAATATATGTACAATATAATATATATTTTAATTATAAATATTATTTTCCAGTTTCAATTACTGAGTTTTATATTATTGTTAAATTTATGATTGTGTTATGAATCGGGTAGGGTCGGAGGTGGGGAATACATTTGTGGGTTTGGGAGGGGGTGAGGAAGAGTTTCATGAGAGTCGGGTTGGGAATAGGGGGTAAGCGGCGAAAATGAGGGTGTGGTGAGGTCAAGTCGAGTAGTGGGCCCTGACCCATATCCTACTCATTGCCATCCCTCAACATACACACCAATCATTTATTTTTTTCATTAAACTAAAAAAGTCATTCCTAAATAAACTTTTTTTACCTCATTAAAAAGTTAAAAAATTAAAAAATCACTAAAAAAAATCAAACCTCGAGTAAAAGCAACTCCAGCCATACCTTTCATTTTTTACTAGTTAACATACTAAAAAGGTAATTTTTTATTTTATCTAATTCGTTTTTTATCTATGTACTCTAACGTTACTCTTTATTTTATTTACCTATCTATGTGTACAAATTGTTTAAAGAGTCTTTAAAGGTTGTTTAAATGTAGCTAGTCTTAAAAAAATTTGTTAAAATAACTATTGTAATAATAATAATAAGAAGAAGAAGAAGAAGAAGTAGTGAGCACCCTTATTACTACATCCGTTGATGATGAAGCAAAAGAGGAAGGCCAGCGACAACAACGACGATTGGGGTTCGAAGTAAAAGACAATAAAGAATAAGATGATGATAAATAATGAGTTGTAGAAGAGATGGTTGGGGGTAGCAAAGTTGAAGATGAGGGTGTGGGCCTATCGGTGATAATAGTGATGGCGATAGTAAAGATGGTCGAAGTTGGATTGTTGGCTACAAATAGTGTTATTGGTTGAGGTTAGAGTTTTGGCCATTTTGATCATTTAGTTAGGAAACAAAATTGTATTAAAAAAAATTTAAAAATTGATTGTTCCATTTAATTTTTGAAATTCATTCAGAGCTAGAACATAGATTTTAAAAAATAAATTAAAATACTTTTTATAAATTGAGAACTTAGGTTAAAAATTAAAAAAAAAAAAAACATTATAGACCAAAAATGACACAAATTAACATATTTGGGGGTTAAAATGTAATTATCCTGCGATTTTTTTGAACTCGAGCTACTGGTTTCGTTTCGTATCGACAACCCTGGAGACAGAAACGAAAAACCCTAGAAATGAATGCGATTGTGAGGAAAGTGTCATCGACTCTCTTCGGGCAACCAGGTGTAGCGCTGAGCTCCCCAAGTTGGGAGCTTCAACAATGGCGGGGGATTAGAGTGAAGGTGCGGAATGGAAACCTGGAACAGGCGTTGGTGTTCATGCAGAGGAAGATGCAATCAAGCGGGATCGAACGGCTGATAAAGCGCGAGCAGACTCATCACCTCAAGAACTCGGAGAAGCGCGTCTTGGCTCGCAAGAATCTCGAGCGGAAGATTCGGTCTCAAGACCTGGCTCGCAAGCTCAAGTCAATCCTCGTCAAGAAAGTCAGGTAATTACTGACAAATCCCTCTGATTTAAGCTTTTCTTTAGTTTCGAAACCACTCAATACCTCAAAGCAGGCTCTTTGATTCACATATACTATCAATTTTAGTAACCTTTACATATATGCATGTGCCAAGAAACAATAACATAGGGGTATGTTTGATTAGTAGAATTATAGCATAGGATTGGGATTGTTAGTCCATGGATTCACGGTCCTCTGTTTGATTGTAAATTTTATTAACCGGATTACATGTATAGCAAACAAAATTGGCAAATTTTTAATATTGAGTGGGGCTGGGATCATAGTTATGAACGAAAAAAATTAAAATGAAGACATAATAAATATTTATCGCACTAGTTTAATTGAATAACTAATCCTACACTAATTCATGGGATTATTAATTCTTTCACTATTAATCCTGTTAATCAAACAAGGCCTAGAGAGCCTGTTTGATCAAGCGGACTATAGCTTAGGATTGAGATTATTAATCTATATGACTCACATTCTAATGCTTGGTTGCAATTTAGTGTTATTCAGATTAGATTTTGATGGACATTCTACCTAACAAATTGGCGAATTTTTAATCGTTCAACTAATAATGCAATTCAAACATATAATTGTGATAATATATTTCAATATCCATTACAAAATAAACGTGGACAAGGGGGAATTATTTATTCTACTAATCTAGTTGGATAACTAATCATACGCTAGTTCCATGGATTGTTAATCCCTTCCTTATTAATCCTACTAATCAAACAAGGTTAGAATGAATTAAGAAACTTACATGGACCATGCTGCTGATCAAGCTAGAGTTGCATTGTCGGAGCATCTCCTATACTTAATATATTTATTATCAAATTCAAGTGAAAATTTTGGTTAAAGCTTGATGTGAACACTCCAATCCTTACTCTCTTTGTTTCATCAAATCTTTTTTGAAAAATTCCAAACTTATCCTAAAAATTTGTTTCCAATGCTTGCTCTTTTTAAAATTTCATCAAATTTGAATAAAAATGCGACTCTTGGAAATTTGGTGAAGGATTTGGTTCATCCTTGATTTGGTGAAAATTTTGCGTCTTCCTTGATTTGATACAAGTTTGATGAAATGATTGGATATCACATTTAGCTCTTTACTCATCATATTTGAATTTGATGAAAGAATTGGTGAAGAATTGGAGATGCTCTTGGTACTCTGTTATTACTTTGCCTACATGCATTAGAATGTTAGACTAGTTTTTTTTTTTTTTGGATTTTGTGATGTATTTGACCCTTATGAACTGCCCATTCCTTCTTGTTCGAAAGAGAAAATAATGTGGCCTTGTTTGGTTTGTGTTTCTCAAAAAATTTTGGGAAAAATTCTCTACAAATAAGTTTTCAAAAGTAATCAAACCAAACAAATTTTCCCAAAATTTTTTCCCAAAACTTGTTTGGTTTACAAGTTTTCCAAACAAATCTCTCTCTCATACACATCAAATCAATCACTTTTTCCAAAATTCTCTCTCAAAATAATTTTTCAAAACATCTTTTGAAAAAAAACCAAACCAAACAAATTTTCGTACTTTTTATCTCAAAACATGCTTCTCAAATACAAACCAAACAAACCCTGTATGTTTTTGTATTCCCCCTAACGTTGTGTGAGCCTTTTAGATGAGGAATAGTTAAGGTCCTTTGCAGCTCTGCCTTTCTAAAGGTTAGACTAATCCTTTTAGTCTGTGTTGTGGGATTGATACTTGTAGAACTACTTTTGGGGTATTTCCTTATGTGTGATTACAAATACCCATCTTTTTTTCTTGTTCAATAGGTGTAAAAGTAGTCGTGTTATTAATAATACGTCTAATAACAATTATGAGCAACATCAATAATATTTAGCAGTTCAAAGTAAAAAGTTCTCGTGTTTATTGTTTACTTGGGGGAATCATACTTGCAAGAGTTAACTTGCTAATTAATCATTCTTAAGTTTTATCATCTTGTGGTTTCCACAACAAAGGATAGTGATGGACATATTCTGTTTACAAAGCTAGATCGTATTTTGGTCAATGAGGCTCGGCTTAGCATCTTGACCGAGTCACAGACATTTTTTGCTCCTCCTGGTATTTCACATCACAGTCCTGGAATTGTTATGGTTAGGCCTGAAGCAAAACATGATCATATGCCTTTCAATTTTTTTTAATTTTTAGTCTTATGTACCAACTTGTCTCTAAGCTCAAATCTCTTAAAGCAGTTCCTAAATCTTTTAAAAAGACTCACTATAGTAATACCTCAGTTAGAGTTGCTGAAGCAAAGTTCAGTTAGAAAAGCTCCAAATTGATGTTCAATCTAATCCTGATCATGTTGCTGCTATTGCTTCTGAACTCTAGGCATTTGCTTGATTGTCATAATTTATTATCTTTTTGGCGTGCTCCTCTTAGTCTTAACTCTAGCTATCACCATTTTATTGTTATCCATTTTTAAATGTTTGAATTGACCTAATGCGTTGTTATTCCCAGAAAAACAACAAAACAAAGAAGGATAGTAAATGTACCAAGAATGAAATCATGCTGTATTTAGGCTGCTTGTTGAAAGACTGTAACTTATTTCCTCAAGAGACAATAGTTTATTCTCACACATTGAACCAAAAATTTTACCAGAATGAATAATGCTTCTGAACCTTGCTTTACATTATTATTGCAACCTGGCTCTATATTTTTATTTATGGTGCTGTCACAGGGGGTTTTCCTATGAATCCTAAGATTTAACCAGGCCTACTCTCACTAGAAATTTGCTGAATTAAGTTGTTTGGATATGCCATTTTTTCTTGTACAAAATTAGATTCAACAGTTTCTGAATTTCAATTGCCAAGCTGACCTAGTTTGTAGTTGGTCCTGCTTTGTCTATCTGCCATTTTTGGACTTTTCTTGTATTTGACTTTGCTCTTTTATATGAGGCAAGATTTTTAGCAAATATTTTTGGAGTCTATATTGCACATTATTTGCAGTAAGTGTCAGCTAGCTTAATTGTGAAGTCTAAATGGTTGTACTGGAAAAGGTGGTAGGAGTTGACTAAATGCATTTATTTTAAACTATGTAGGCACAGGCCTATACCATAGGCAGAGGTTAATGAAACTCCATGCTTTTATCATACATTAATAATTTCATAGACTATAATCCCTAGCAGGGAGCTAAGTTTTTAGCTTTTTATTTCTGTAACCTATCCTTTTTTATGGGCAGATTAGTGTTCAATACTAGGAACAATTCTTGGAACGGTCAAAATTTCTCTTATGTTTATTTACTGGGGTTTTGTGTGTGCCATTTTTCTATGTTTGTAGCCTATAGACTAGCTTTTCATTAGTGTACTCTCTCTCTCTCTCTCTCTCTCTTCACGTGCACGCATGGAAACACGTAATATGTGCCCTTAACCTTGGGCAAATTATTGGGTACTCCTGGAATACCACGTGGCCATTCTCCCTCACCAATCATCATTCATTATGCCCCATCATGTTCCTCAATCAAGCAACACAAAATCATAATACCTCATCTTCTTCACCAATCATACTACCATAGAGTACCACGTGGCCGTACTCCTGGATTACTGAATAATCACCCCTTTGACCTCGACTTAGGTGGTAAAAGGTAAGGTGGGGTGGGGTGGGGTGGGATGAGGTGTAAATGCTGCAAATTTGTAGTCTTCATTTGAAAGGAATTTGATATAGTCATATGAAGCAATGCTCTTTATCAGCTGTTGATGGTATCCCTCTAATATTTCCATGGCAGATTGCATGCCTGAATTGTCATCAACTGTCTGATAGCAAACACACATAATTTTTGTATTAAAATTTAAACCTGATCAATCTCATCTTGCTGGTTCTACTAGCTCTTGTACTTTTGCACGTGATTGGTGTTTGTAGGGTTTGTTGCATCTAGTTAAAAGGTTAGAACCTCTGAATTTGCTGTTTCTGGGTTTATTTTTTATGTCCATATAAATATCTAAAGTTCCTAGTTCTAATCTTATAAATAAGTTTCCATATTTCACATTTGGACTGCAAGATCAGAATAGGATGACCATGAGTGGGTGCTGGTAAGTAGATACAAGGAATTAGCAGTTATAATTAGTTTTATAAAGACACAATCACTCCTATGAGTCAGTAACTGTATTATTTTATGCACTTGCTATTGGTTTTGCTATGGATTTATATTTCATGGTCCTTTTATTTTATTTTATTTTATTTTTGCTGTTTTTGAATAGAGAGGTGAGAGAAACCACACTCTTACAACACCTGATTAGTTTTGCTGTGGATTCGCATTTCATAATTGCCTCCTCTCATTTTGCGTCTGCATGTATTAAGACAGATGTCAAGAAATTTGAGCCCACCAATCCAAAGTTTTTTTCAAGGATTATTTCCATGGTCCCTTGGGCAGTATCTTCAAATTCTCTCTGTTGTTCTTCTTGCCTTGGCCTTCATTGTTTCTATTTGGTTCTTTAAGGCTTGGTTTGGTTTGGTTTGGTTTGGTCTATAAGGGAAGATCTCTATGGTTTTGTTTGCATGGTATAGAAAATCCAATTTTGCATAAACCTTGGAGACTAGTTGCTTTTGTGCTCACGTGTTTGATTTCAACGTGTGCAGGGGTCTATGAGAGTAGTTCTGAAAGTGATGATTTTCTCGATTTGATGATTGGCTACATACAAAAGGGACACTGCTGCTGATTCGCCAATTTGTTTATTTTTGTGTAGACTTGCAATGTGACAGACAAAAATATGTTGGATTTCTCAGTTGGATTGCTCTCTATGAAGCATTTGAGCGATTTTGTCATTCGCAAGCTAACACCATGTTTATCAGGGAAATAACTATGAACTAATTTCACTTTCTGAGTACTTACACTCCGTTTGATCGTGGGGTGAGAAATGAAATGAAATGATTATGATTCTCACTATTTTGTTTGGATAAATAAAAGAAAAAAGAATCTAATTTCTCACCTATCTTGTCTGGACTTTATTAAATGCTCTCTGGAAAAGAGATTGAATGTTTTTGAAGGAATTGCTATTTTGTAATTTTTATATATTTATTTTTAATTTTGTAGACAGTTCTTTTATTCGCTACATCTTAGAAATCCTTATCTAAAAGTTGAGGTTTGAAAACTAAATTCACAATATGGATCAATTACAACAGAAAAATTTGGAACATATTTTTTAATGATCTGTCTGTAATTACTATTGTATCATCGAATCATTATCATTTTGGTAACTTGGCCATGGGCCTTAAGCCTTATTTTGTAAGCGCAAGGCTCTCTTATTGTTGATTGTAACTCGTGGAGCATTTGCATGTTTGTTTATACTGTTCTTACAACACATGTCATGTTTATATAATTGTGTAATAACTGGACAATGAGAATACTGATAATTAAATTAATATCAAGTTTTGTATGTTGCATGTTCGGATAATGGGCATGGTTTCCATTTCATATTTTATTTTTGTTTATTGACTACACTATCATTGCATAGACACATGATGAAGATAATGTTGCCTATTTTGGGAAGATGATAAAAAGTGACTTTTTAAATTTTAACCAAGTTTTTGACTATTTTAGACAAATGATTTGGAAAGTTGGTAAAAAGTGACTTTTGGCTTTTTTTATTAATATTTGTTTATGATGTCAAATGATAATAAAATGACCAAACTATCCTCATTTAGTTTAAAATATTTACAACTTTACCCATGTAACACATTTTTACCCATGAGGGGTAGAATTGTAATTTCATCATTGACTAAAAACCAACTTCCCAAATGAAAAAAAAAAATTTAAAAAGCCAACTTTTAACTTTTGCTACAAATCAAAAAAAGTGACTAAAAGTCAACTTTCCAAAACAAGTCATTGAAAAAGGGGTGTTTGGAGAAGATGGTTAAAAAAAATTTTTTTTGACTTTTTTTACTGTTTCATGTGAGAGGTGATGTAACCTAAAATAGATTAAAAGTTGATTTTTGACTTTTTTTTGACTTGTTGCCAAAACACCCCTAAGTGGATTCGACTGAGTTAATGGCCATAATGACAAATAACAGCATCTATATTCACCCTCAAGTGACAACCATGATACAAACAATGATACACGGGCTACTTGAGTTCATTGAAGACCCTGTCAACTTGCATCAATTTGTAATTAATGATACAAACAAATCAAATAATTTTGTTCCAAATTAAACTTTTTATTTCAATAATTTTATTCAAAAGTTAACGTCCCAACCAAAAAAAAAAAAAGGTAAAATTACATTTACTTTCACAGAGGTTTTTGACAATTATAAATGTGTATTAAAAAATTGTATAAATTAGTGTGTAGAGGAAAATTAAGATTGAGAGTTGTGCAGTCGTAATTTTTGACTTTTGTTGAATAGTGATAATTTTTTAACTTTTTGAGTAACTTTTTGACTTTTTAATTTTTTTTAAACTTGCCAAACTTAATGTTATTGTTGATTGTAACTCGTGGAGCATTTGCATGTTTATTTATACTGTTCTTACAACATCACATGTCATGTATATATAATTGTGTAATAACTGGACAATGAGAGTACTGATAATTAAATTAATATCAAGTTTTGTATGTTGCATATTCGGATAATGGGCATGGTTTCCATTTCATATTTTATTTTTGTTTATTGACTACACTATCATTGCATGGACACATGATGAAGATAACGTTGTCTATTTTGGGAAGAAGTAAAAAGTGACTCTTTGAATTTTAACTAAATTTTTGATTTTTTTAGACAAATGATTTGGAAAGCTGGTAAAAAGTGACTTTTGACTTTTTTGATTAATATTTGTTTATGATGTCAAATGATAATAAAATGACTAAACTATCCTCATTTAGTTTAAAATATTTACAACTTTACCCATGTAACACATTTTTACCCATGAGGGGTAGAATTGTAATTTCATCATTGACTAAAAACCAACTTCTCAAATGAATTTTTTTTTTAAAAAAGCTAACTTTTAACTTTTGCTACAAATCAAAAAAAGTGACTAAAAGCGAACTTTCCAAAACAAGCCATATTGAAAAAAGAGTGTTTTGAGAAGATGGTTAAAAGATTTTTTTGGACTTTTTTCACTTTTCATGTAAGAGGTGATGTAACCTAAAATGGATTAAAAGTTAGTTTTTTACTTTTTTTGACTTGTTGCCAAAACACCCCTAAGCGGATTCGACTGAGTTAATGGCCATAATGACAAATAACAGCATCTATATTAACCCTCAAGTGACAACCATGATACAAACAATGATACATGGGCTACTTAAGTTCATTGAAGGCCCTGTCAACTTACATCAATTTGTAATTAATGATACAACAAATCAAATAATTTTGTTCCAAATTAAATTTTTTATTTCAATAATTTTATTCAAAAGTTAATGTCCCAACCAAAAAAAAAAAAGGTAAATTACACTTACTTTCACAGAGGTTTTTGACAATTATAAGGATTGCTCTTGTGGTTGCAATAATTATACTAACATTCCTTACTTTTGAAACTATTATTAAGATTCTCCTTAAGTTTGTACGAACGGCATTAGTTGAGTATAAAAATGATTATATCATCTTTGATTTGCATGTGAAAAGGCAAAAACACCCATAAATCAACTCATTCATTGTGTTGACACCCATAAATCAACTCATTCATTGTCAACACAGGTAAATTACGCTTTGCCTCTCCTAAGGTTTTGCATATATATATATTATTAAAGACCCATATATATTTTAGCATTATTTAATAAAATTCTTAAATTTCATACAATATACAGTAAAACCCATAAATTGGTAATAAATTATTAAAACATTTAATGAAAAAAAAAATTCATTGATAAAATACTTAATAATAAACAATCTCTCTAAAATTAATATTAGATAACATCATAATAATTTAATATAGGACTTATTCCATATGCATAAACAACGTTAAATTTATCATTTTAAATAATGCATTTATTATTTGAATTTTTTTCAAAGTTGAAATAAATGGATTTTTTTCTCGATAATTTGCATTATTTATTTATTCACATGTAAAAAAAAATTATTTTATCTTTTCTCAATCATGTATTACTCAAATTTTTATTTTTATTTTTGAGTCATTAAATATCTAATCGATGCATATAAAAAATAAATTAAAAAAAAAATGCATGTTAATATTTCTTACACGATTAAAAAAAATTACAAAAAAAAAATGTAAAAGTAAAAAAAAAAACTTACATCTGCTGAGATTTTTGACAATTAAACCAAACTCATTCATCATCAACATTAATCTTAACCTTAAATGCACTAAATTTAATTTATCCTATTAAATATATATGAAATTATTATTTATTTATCATAATTTTTGCAAAATATAATTGTAATTTCTTGATTCTATATCTTTCCACAAGAAGTTTTTGAACTTTTATAAACAATAAATAAAATAACGTTTCAACCATGAATGAAGATGAGAAATTAATTTTAAGATTTAATTTAATAAAATTAGTTTAAATGAGATAAATAAAGATGGCAAAATAGATTTATCATATATAACAAATTAATTGAGTATTTTATTATTCTCAAACAATTTTTCCATTCAAGTAAAGATTAATTTTAATTTTAGGTGTAAGAAATGATAAATTATTTGAATTGTTTATTATTCTCAAATGATTTTTGTGATCCTTCATTCCCTATCAAATAATTTTAATTTATTGTGAGACGATTATATTTTTTTTTACTTCCATATTTAATTTTTAATTTTTTTTAATTACGTAAGAAATATTAACTTGTGTTTTTTTAAATATGCATCGATTAGAAATTTAATGACTCAAAGATAAAAATTAAAATTTCATAATAGTATATGATTGAGAGAAGATAAAATAATAATTTTTTTACATATGAATAAATAAGTAATGCAAATTACTAGGAAAAAAATAAATCCATTTATTTCAACTTTAAAAAAATTCAAATAATAAATGTATTACTTAAAATGATAAATTTTACGTTGTTTATGTAGAGTAAAATAAGCCTTATATTAAATTATTAAGATGTTATCTAACTTTAATTTTAGAGAGGTAGTTTATTTTTAAGTATTTTATCAATGAAATCTTTTTATTATCTAACATTAATTTTACGTTGTTTATGTAATGTGAATTAAGCCATGTATTAAATTACCAAATACAAAGGGAAATTTAGCCAAAACTCTTCCATTGAGCCATTCTTTAGTGAAAAGGGCAGTCCAATTTATTTTAATTTATAAACCCCTAAGAAAAAGGCGCATAATTGAAGAAAGATAAAGCAAAATTTTAATTTTTTTTTTCTTAGACAATATTACTCATATATATATATATATACATATCATAAATTTGAAATTTACATCAACAAGGATTCCTTAGTTTGTAATTATCTGAGAAATCCTTGTCTGTTTGGGATTTGGTAGTGTTATTGAATTATTTTTGAAAGCCTCAAAATCTGTGGTCTTCTTCATTCATCAATCACCAAAGGCGAAGCTCGCAAGCCATAATTTAATTGTCTAGTTAGAAGAAATAGATAAGAGAAGGTAATCATTGTTTATTTTTTCTAATGTATCTTAAACTAGAGAAATCCTTCTCTGTTTGGGATTTGGTAGTGTTATTGAATTATTTTTGAAAACCTCAAAATCTGTGGTCTTCTTCATACATCAATCACCAAAGGCGAAGCTCGCAAGTCATAATTTAATTGTCTAGTTTGAAGAAATAGATAAGAGAAGGTAATCATTGTTTATTTTTTCTAATGTATCTTAAACTAAGCTTGCGCTAACATCATTGTTTATCAATTCAACAATTTCCCACTTCTATTTCATTTTACAAGTTTAGAAAGGTTGTGTATCTGTGTTTTTGGTTCGTTCATCTAATATATATTCTATTTTTTATAAAATAAAATTTTACTCTAATTAACGGCAATAAACTTTGATTGTAGATATGCTTAACGACAGTAAATTTTACTGTGAAACTTAATAAAATTTTACTCTGAATGACGCTTCGCTTTTGCCTTACTCTAAAGTAAAATTTTGTCTATGCCAATTTCGATAGTATTTTTTTTTTTTAAGAATTTTATACTCAATCTTGATTTTGTTTGATAGATCTTGATGAGAGAATTCTAAAAATATAATTTTATCAAGAACCAACATCTAAATCAAAAATTATATAATTTTAAAGTTTAATATAGTAAATTAATCACTAAAACTTATTCTTAATACATAAAAATTTCATTATGAAGGAGTTTTAACACTACTCAAATACAACCCTAAATTTTGAAATACTTACAAAGTGACATTTCTCAAACTCAAACCGGTATTCTCTTACTGTAATGGCCCCTACAAGGTCCAAACTAAAAACAAATTACCCAAAAAAAGGGCCATAAGAAATTGACCAAAAGGTACAATGTTCATGTCCGACAGAGTCACTAATTTCATAAACTGTGTCAAGGCAATTCATCACATGTGACAACATTTTATAATAGCAATGAAGAACAAAAAATGTGCTCTCTCCCTCTCCTGTATTTGGTTGGGGGATTTGGAAAAAGAAAAAGGAAAAAAATAAGTAAAATATGAATAAAATATACCTACATTTCACATAATTTCACACACTTTTTCCTTTTTCCTTTTTCCCTTTCCTTTCCAAATCCCTTACCAAATCTCCCAACCAAACCCAACGTAAATGTTGGACAAATGACAAGGCACCTACTTTTTCGGCAAGTTTGCAGTATTCCTCAAACTAAAATTAATTGCAAAGGAAATTAAGGTAGCTATTAATGAATTGAAGACCATATACAACAATTTTTTTTTTCCTGATATTCACATAAATAGGGGACAGAACAGAAAGATTTTCATATTTGTAAAAGTTCAAGGTTGAGATTTTCTGAGTAATGGTTATGACAAAGAGAAACCTTCCTCAAGACATTGTGTTCTAATGTCTTGCATAAGATGCTGAAGTAAAGTGGGATTGCTAGTAACAACAGCATCCACATTCTCATACAGCATTTTCTTCATGGAGGCTTGATCGTCCACTGTCCACGCATATACCTTCTTATTTCTCCTGTAAATTTTTTTAGCTTGTCATGCATGTAATTATATGCAGGTGTGCATGTATGTATATACACAGACAAACACATATGAAATTAATTGAATATTCATACATACCCATGAAGTATTTTCATAAGTTTCTCGTCAATTAAAGGGTGGAATACACCAACAACACTAGCACCTCTCATCCTCAATAAGTTATTTCTAGCCCCAGTAGAAGGATCTTTCATGACAATGTAGCCTACCTGCAAAGCCACCATACACCAGTAACATACAGTATTGTATTTAATAAAGTCAAAATCTCAGCACCACCAACTACTATACAAAAACTTTGGTTTTTATGCAATAATTTTCATCCAAATAAGTTCAATTTCAGCCAGTTATATGGATTAATAAATGTAAGTAATGCATCCACTGATCCATCAGTGCAACCAAGTAGCCTTTTATGCAAGGGATGGGTTCTGTATTTGGCAAAAGCTAAAACTGTTTTTTCTGAACTTTTGTTTTAAATGATTTTATTTTATTTTATTTTATTTTGGTAATATTTGTGTCAAAAGATTTTACTTTCCAAGTCTGTCTTGTCTAAAACGATCTAAAAAGAAAAAAATTTGAAAAAAATATCCAAAAAGAGTTTTACTAGAGACAAACAAACAAACAAACAAACAAAAAAATGGGAGTAAACCTTTTAAAATTGTCTTTAGTGGACTACTTTTAAAAAAAAATTAAAAAAAACAAATTTTTTCCTGTCTAGTCTAGTCTAATAGAACCTGAAAGTGAAAATTTTTGGAAAAAATTAAAGAAAGTTCACTAAAGACATAAAACTGACAAAAGAAAGGTCTGCTAAAAAAGCAAATTGCAAAACCCTACCTAAGACAAGTTCAGCCGATGATAGTTGAACGTCAGCGGTTCAACCCCAGCTTATACATGTCCATATCGGCACTCATACACTAGATTATCTGCTTCCCAAATGGTTGATCATACAGATGAGGCTGTGCACAGAAAGCCCAGCCAAGCATATCTACTCCCATTTTTTGCGGGGGAAAATTGTGGCATATATGTAAACCTATCTTTTGCATATGTTAGTGATGTGACAAGGGAGAATATGCTCTAGCAAGTAACATGTGAATGATCTAGAGTGACAAATTTGGATAAACAAAACAAAAAAAGAAAGATGGCTTGGGTCCCCAATTAGATCAAGAAGAACTAGACTCGTTGATTTAGATTTTTGTGGAATTAGACCACGGAAAGATGTATGGCATCTAATCATACAAAATACAAAGGCCACAAAATTCTACTTGAAATTCATTCACTGCTTAAAAAGGAGAACTCACAATTCCACATATGGTCACCTGAGATTACTAGTTAATCACAAAATAACCTACTAGGTGACAAGTAGCACATAAGTAGCTTATGAAAAGCTGAAAACTAGCAACCTGTCAAGGAGTACTGTAAAAATAACTGAAATTGCCAAATTACCCATGAAGACTCTTAAACCTAACAAAATTACTTATACAACAAACAAAGACTATATCATTAATCTTCAAATTAGTCAAACTCCCTAATCTGACCATGCTAAACTGATTCTCCAAAATGTCTTTCTGTAGTATCCTCTTACTTTGTCTCCCTATATTTTGAGTGCTTTATGCTGTGTTTGGTTGGAGGATTTGGGGAGGGATTTGGAAAGGGAAATGGAAAAGGTAGGTGAAATGTAAATAAAACATGCCTATATTTCACCTAGTTTCACACAACTTTTCTCTTTTCATTTCCAAATCCCTCTCCAAATCCCCCAACCAAACACAGCATTAGTGTTTGATAGAATACTTCGTCAATTTGTAAAATTGAAAATATGAAACCTATGCTGCCTCATCATCTTTGTTGAAGGCGACTACATTTAGGCTTCTGCTCTTCATATTGTATTGTATCATTCAATTTTTCTGAAGCAGCAAAATTAATTGTTGGACCAACATGCCCCAAAAAAGAGATCCTTTGATTGATAGAAGGATGACACTAGCATCTTCAAAAATGAATTCAGGAGTTGGCACAGGTGCTTCCAGGCCAACAGTAGACTTCACAACCACTTTCAATTGATCTTTACTATTGATTTTTATATTATAACTTTGAACTCAAAGAATCCTTCATCTTAGCTTCAAGCAACGGTAATAATGGATTGGTTAGGCGATGCAGATAAGTTACTTATGTCACAGATAATCAATTAATTTAAACATGCAGATCTCTCTAAATTTGAGCATGCAAAAACATTGTGGCAAAACCTAAAGCACTGATACGAAACTCACACAGGATAATATGCATTAAATGTGAAAAGTTCAGGAGTAATGCTTGTTAAATTTGATGTATAGAAAAATAGAGAGAATGAAATATGTATTTATGATTGATATTATTGATTGATGTATTTATATCTATTACAATGATTCATGATTCCTATATATAGAAGAGAGGATGTGGGAATAGAATAGGTGAGTGTGTAGTAGGTATGGAGTAGGTGAGGAGTAGGTGGAGAGTAGGTGAAGTAGGTGAGTGTGTAGTAGGTGGTAGTGGTAGGTGTGTAGTATGTGAATTTTAACATATAGTTAATCCGTTCTCTTTGTAAGGGTGTCACATTCGATTATTAAAATCAGCTTTAGAATTCTAATTTTTTTATTATTGTTTGCAACTGTAAACAACAATTTGACATTTTATTGATGACTTATTCACATTTGCCTTTATTCCTTGAATTTAGCCTGGAGTCTTCTACGGATTTCTGTGTAGGCATAAGACATTTTCAATCAAATTTTCCAACCGCAGAATTACCCTTAGAAGCATGAATACTTCTAAGGTGTTGTGTCTGTGTAGGTTATTGACTCTTGTCAGAGACTTCCTAACTCTTGTCGAACACATGCCCAAACACGTCATATTATTATTATTATTATTATTATTATTATTATTATTATTATTATTATTATTATTATTATTATTATTATTTTATTTATTTATTTATTT